GGAACTGCAGCAGAAGGATAAAAACTTAAAGGAGAAGGAAAGCAAAGTTGTTGAGCTTGACAAAGCTCTTAAGGAAAGACAGTGGGAATTAAAACAAAAAGCTGCACAGGTAAGAGGGATCTGGGACAAGCTGAGGTATAACTAACGTAATGAAGGATGACTAGTTTGCGCCACTCGTGTTAGGGTTAACATCAGGGCTTAACCGACAGAATCGTTTATTTGACTCTTCAGGTGAATAACTAGGGTTTAAAATGATGAGCTGACTAAAGGTAGTAAAGTGTAATGGTTATGAAACCCGAGAGACTTGTTAATATGTCTTAAGTCAGCTTTTTGTGGCCTAGACCATGTACAAGTTTCATTAGTATTCCAACCATGTGGGACAAAATAGCCAACAGACTTGTTTCCATGAAGGTATTCCATGACATGTGTGAACTAAAAACAAAGGAATATGTATGGCCCAGCGGAAATCTGCCAATACAAACTGCAGCTTTTTTTCTCGCCGTTGATATTTTGTTTTCTTTCGTAGCTAATCTTCTCTACTAACTATGAGCCGATGATGCAAAACTTACCTTGACCCTGATTATGAGTATGTCTTGCGCACACGCTGTTGAAACGTCAGTCATTGTGTGACCGGCATTCCTAGCCTGTACTTGACTGACCTGGACGATCACATTCAACCTACTTGGGACTTGACTGTTTGATCCAAACCTCTATAAAGGCAGTGTTATGACCCTGAATATTCTCGTTTTCGATATTGGTTTCGTTTATATACTAGTTGGATTAGGTTAGTGAAAAGTGTAGTTATGTAGTAGAAATTCAAACTGACGTCAAATGCTTTAATTTTAATCGCGTTTGTTCTCTTTGCCTTTAATAATTTTGCATTCGTGATTTGACGCGAGCACATGTAAATAACGGAATCCTGCAATCAATTCAGTCAGACCATATTTCCGTACTTAAAATTGAGGGATAGGACTAATACTGAATCCTGGAGTTGAAAAATCATCGTGTCTTTTAACCACTGGGGACCCACACAAACTGAGTGACGGTTGTGGTGCTGGAATTTAAAGGAAATGTATGGGAATGTAATAAGGATATTTATTAAATTCTTGTTTGACGTTTTGTATCTTTTTTGCCAGGTTACCCAGCTGGACATGACCATGAAGGAACACAAGAGTGAATTGCAGCAAAAGGTCATCACATTAGAGCATGCGCTTAACCAGGCTCGCTATGAACTCAGCGAGAGAGCGGTGGAGGTGAGAAATTGTAGAGCCTTTTTCTCTGTGTTTGTTGTTATTGTTGTTTGTGTGTGATTTGCTTGCAGAAGTCAGACTATGAGGAAAAGATATTTTACGGAAACGAACAGGAAGGCGTTCAGCAACAAAAAAAACACTTGTTGCCAAGTGTAAAGGAATTCAACCGTCTTAGATTCTGGATTTCACGCCGTGGATTCCAGATTCCAGATGCTGAGCCTGGTTCCTGAAAGGCTGATTAGCGCTAATCCAGGATTAAAATGTCGTTCCACTTTTTATATTTACTTGCCTTAACATGGCTTGCCGGAGGAACATTTTATGTTATAATTACTGTATCTCAGAGTTAAGGCTCAACAGTATTTTGTAAGTTTGATGAGTTGTATGTTCTTAGACAGGAAAACCGGGCTTAAAATGTGGCTAAATCTTGGGTTAAACTTAACCATCTTTCGAGGAACCGGGCCCGGATTCTGGATTCTTGACAGTAGAACTTGGAATCCAGATTCGATTACATGGGACGACACTCAGACGGGTGATGAGGCCTTGGTATCGGCCCATCAGTTTCTGCCGCTCTCTTGAGGTCTGTCTTTGTTCCTCCCAGAGAAGAAACTTTTCTACTTATCACTCTAATTCTTTCAGCAAAGCTACTTTCTTAGACGTTGGTTATTTTTTTTTTCTTAAGATCTCTGAAATAAAAGCCAAGCGAGATCAGAATCAAGAGCAGGAGAAGCAAAAGAAATCCAGAATTGAGCATTTGGAGAAAACGGTGAAGCACCAACAACAAGAACTGAAGAAGAGAACTTCGCAAGTGTCCGAGCTAGAAAGAGTAAGCAAGCCATTGAAAACGAGTTGTTTATTGTTGTTGTTTTGTTTCCTATTTTAATCATCCTTGTAAAGTAGGTGTCGCAAACACAGTGAATGACAACAGAAACTCATAAGGGTTTGAACCGTGTAACTCGCGTTCAATGCTTGTGAATATTCATTTTTTTTTAAGTACTGTATTTGGAAACTCTCGCTGTGGCCTCAAAAAAGCCATAAGTTTAAAACAACTTTGCACGTGCAATACGCCTCGTACATTTCTTTGTCGTCATTGCACGA